ATGTATATAGTGAAAGGTTTATTATTGATTGCAACAGCAATATGAGAATTAATGGTACTATTTTATCCCAATACCAAATGATTAACTCTTAACTAAGTCACTTTTCTAGTCTATAAAGGTGCAAAAATGTTTTTCTTTATTTTAGCTTTGGGAGTGTGTGTGTGTGTGTGTGTGTGTGTGTAAAAATGGGTTGGGTGCCTTGGTGGCCTCTGCCTTCAGCTCAGGTCATATTTCCAGGGTCCTGGAATCGAGTCCTGCATTGGGCTCCCTGCTCAGTGGGGAGTCTGCTTCTCCCTCTGCCCCTCCCCCTGCTCATGCGCACTCTCTCTCTCTCTCTCAAATAGATGAATAAAATCTTTTAAAAAAATAAAAATGGGTTGCAGTTTCTTTCTGATCACACTTCCACAGACTAAGGGAAATCCTTAATGTGGTTCCCTAATTTTTTTTTAAACTTTTTTACTCTCATTATAAAATATAGCTAGTTTCACAAACAGAATAAAAATTTTCAGTTTGAGTTTCAAGGTACTATAGAAAATGTAAGGCTGTTTCTAGCCCAGTCAATATTGACATGTAATTAATACTAACTACTGTTAAGTATTGCTGTTGTTAAGGACCTCAGAGAATAGCGTAGGATATGAATTTAGGTAATTACAGTATTCTCTGAAAATAATATTGCTGAGATACACAAGAAAATTTATGTGGGTAAAAATACTTTTGATTATTGAGAGCTTTTATTAATATACATTCACTGCCTATATACCCAATAATTAAAGTCGGGTATACATTTTGTGTGTGTGTGTGTGTGTGTGTGTGTGTGTGTTTTAAGTAAGCCCTACACCCAGTGTGGAGCTTGAACTCATGACTCTGAGATCGAGTTGCATGCTCTGGGGTGCCTGGGTGGCTCAGTGGGTTAAGTGTCTGCCTTCAGCTCAGGTCATTATCTCAGGGTTCTGGGATCTAGTCGGGCTCCCTACTCAGCAGGGAGTTTGCTTCTCCCTCTCCCTCTGCCACTCTCCCTGCTTGTGCTCTCTTTTAAATAAATAAATGAAATCTTAAAAAAAAAAATCACACGCTCTACCAACTGAGCCAGCCAGGTGCCCCTAAAGTTGGGTATACATTTGACTGAGCTTCCTAACAACCTGAAATAAATTGCCTAAGAGAAACTTTTTCATCTTTTCAGGTACTGGGGTCTTAAATTTCCCCCATGATCTCTCCTTGGGGAGCATTGGATGAAATGATCACTATTCTCAAAGACATTCTTAAATATAATTGAGAATTTTACATGACCAATTCATAATAATCTTGTTGATCTCTTCTGTGTTGAAATATATACTCTTGGCTTCACTGAAATGACAGTGACCTCTGTTTTCTTGAGATTGACCACTCGAAGGGCACTTGAGAAGTATAGCTCCATTTACCCAGTGTTTTATTGAGCGTTTGTGGTGTGCCCAGCACTCAGCTGTACGCATCAGAGTTGCAGATTTAATAAAATGTGGTTCCTACCTGAAGGTTTTGAATAGTAATGGACAGGAATGGCGGTGGCATTTTAGGCATCAGTGGAGGAATGGTATAAACTGTGTAACACTGGGGAGGAGAGGACAGAAAGAAGACTACAGTAATATTTATGAAGGGAATAATCCTAAATTAATAAGTGGCAGTAAGAATAGGGAAGGAGAGACTTATTCTGGAGATAATTGGGAGTTGAAATGGAAGGGACATAATGAGTGATTGTGGTAGTTGAAGGAGAAAGAGTAGTTAAGAAGCCTCCTAAGTTTCTGTCTTGGGGGACCAGATAGATGTACTTTCTTCTATTCTTAAATCATGATGACATGTATTGCATTCAAAAATTTTTGTTAGGTATATAACGTAATGAATAATATAACCATATTATGAATGATTGTTGAATAGGTTTAAATTTATATGTACTTTATAAGAAATACCTAAATTGTACCTTTTGTTATTTTTCTTTTCAAGTTGAAATGTTCTTAGCCATGTCTCTTACAAGTAATTACTAAGGTGAAACTTATGCCTAGGACATAAGAGAGAGTATAACTTCACTGTTTTCGGAGGGGAGGGCTTTATAACTACAACAATATACAAGGTGTGATCTAAGAGTTTTGTTTCATTTTTCATAGCCATTTGTTGTGCATTATGCTACGTACTGTTTGTAGTTTAAGAATACAAAGGTAAATAACACAGAGTTGTTACTCTCAAGGAGCTCAGACACCAGTAATGGACATAGACATATAAACTGATAATTATGGTTGTACAGTATGTAAGTGCTCTAATAGAGATAGACACAAAAGAGGGCACCTAATCTCCGAGGGTAAGGAGGAGGAGATGGGCATAGGGAAGGCTTCCAGAGTTGATTTCCAAAGTGATTTTTTTTAAACTACTTTTCCCACCTTTTAATTTTGAAACTTTCAACCCTATAGAAAAGTATTAAAAAAGAGGACAAGGTAGGGGATGAGCAAAATGGATGAGGGGTCAAAAGGTAACAAACGTCCAGTTACAAAATAAGTCAGTCGTGGGAATGTACTGTATATAGCATGGCAGCTATAATTAATACTGTATTGCATATTTAAAAGTTGCTAAGAGAGTAAATCTCAAAAGTCCTCATCATAAGAAAAAATTTGTAACTATGGTGATGGATATTAACTAGACTTATTGTGGTCATCATTTTGCAAAATATACAATTACTGAATCATTATATTGTATGCCTGAAACTAATGTAATGTTATATGTCAGTTGTGGTTTAGTTAAAAAAAGACAACAAATACCTAAGGTTTATCAGTTGCTAACATTTTGTCATGTTTACTTTATTTCTATCATGTATGATAGAAATATATATGATATACATCAAATATTTTTGAGAACCACTTGCAAGTAAACTGTTGACAAAACAGCTCTTAAATATTTTAACATGCATGTCTTAAGGGGGGACATGCCCCTCTAAAACAATCTTACGATCATGTTTAAGAAAATCAACATTAATTCAATAATATCCAGGTACACAGTCCATATCCAGACTTTACCAACTGTTCCAGAAAATGTCTTGTCACTTTTTTCCTCAATCCAGAATGGTCCCTTCCTTTTTTTGTTTTGTTTTTCATGACATTAACTTACTTGAAGATACCAGTTATAAAGAGTTTCACATTCTGGATTTACCTGATAGTTCCCTCATGATTAGATTAAGGGTCCGCATTTTTAGTGAATACTACATAGGTGATGTTTATTTCTCACTGCATTACATCAAGAGATATATGTCAAGTTGTCAAAATTTATTGGTGATGTTAAGTTTAATCATTGGTTAAGATTGTGATTACCAGATCTCTCCATTTTTCCCCTCATTTAATAAGTATAATCTATCCTGTAGTCCCATCTATTTTTCACTCAGTAGTTTTAGTATCCATTGTTGATCCTTGCCAGAATTGTACTGAGGGTTGCAAAATGGTAATTTTCTAATTCTGTCATTCTTTCTGCATTTATATACCTGGGAATTGTAAAGAGCATCCCCTCCCCATCATCCCATCCCCCCATCCCCCCAGCATATTGCTATGGACTCATGGATTTTTTTAATTCAGTGTGTCATTCTTTGTGATCCTTAAGTTATTCCAGATTTGGCCAGTGGAAACACCTTAAAGCCAGTTTTTGTACCTTTTGACATGTTTTTGGGCATTATAAAAAGGAATCCTAAACTTACCTATTAACTTCCTTATTCCAGATCTGAGATCAGCCATTTCTTCAGGGAGCCATAGTTCCTTTTAATGGGGAATGGTATTTTAACTAATTAAGGTTTTTTAATTAAGTATATGTCAGGCCAACTAGTAGGTTCAAAAGATGGCAGAAAGACAAAGAGATGAGGAACAGCATGTTTGATGAATAGAAAATTTTAAGCAATTTCAAAACAAGTAAAGTTAGGACTGAATAAAAATGAATATTGTGTGGATTGCTCTTCACTGTTATTTTTTACGAGGAGGAAATGTGTATAAGAGAGTACTTCAACCTGCATGACTAACATGAGTGAATCATCCCAGTGAATTTAAATTTAGATAATTAAAAATATTTGTTTTAAAACAAATATATCACACAAAATCATAACAATTTTTTATAATAAAACAAAGCTATGTCAAGATTATAGCAGGTGGTGCATCTTAAGTAGGACAGCAAAGTATGCAGAAACTCTCTTGGATGGTTTGATGTCATTTAAAAAAAAGTACATAATGACATTATCACCCACGAGGCTAGATTTTTATCAGGATCAAGAGAGTAGAAGCAAGAAGAACCTGATAGAAGAATATTGCCATTGTATAGGTAAGAAATGATAATGTGAATATCTGAGGTAATAGGGAAGGAGATGTTAGTTTATATATGTTTTCTGAGTCTTCTAAACAAAAGCTAAAATTTAACCCCTCTCCCCACCACCAAAAGGGAAGGAAGAAAAAAAGAAAATTGAGAAAACTAAAAACTACAACATTCCTCTTTGTACATATTTATATTTGTCCTCCCTTTAAAAATAAAAATTTTATATTGATGATAGGCAAATGTTAGTGATGCTTATAATTTGGTCCATTTTTTATTTATGTATGACTTAATCATTTTTTTATGTTTAGAAGTTTTAAATTCCAGGCTGGTATCTTCCTGCTCCTCAGCTTGCTTTTGCATTGTTGGTGCTGTATTTTGGAAGATTGTGAAATAGACCTTATAAAAATTAGCCCAAGGAAAAATCAGGAAAGTAAATAATCCTCCTGAAACTGTAATACATTTTTATGGCAAATAGAATTTTTTTGTATTAACTTCTGTTTAAAATTATCTGCAAATTCAAGAATTGAGAGAACAAGACAGCATAAATTGAGATCTAGAGAGGAAGGTTACCATTTCTTATAGATAGGGTATTAGATGTTTTGAATTGTGTCTTAAGTGGCAAACTTTCTGAAGTTTCTGTATTTATGGAAATAGCGTGTGAGAAGTATTTAGACAGCATCTGTTTTTGTTTTTAGACTGGGCTGGTTTAGATGAAGATGAAGATGCACATGTCTGGGAGGATAATTGGGATGATGACAATGTAGAGGATGACTTCTCCAATCAGTTACGGTAAGTTTTAAGTCAGATTTTATATAGCTTAGTATTAATTGTAGGAATGGAATATGTAACTTACATATGATAATTGACCTCTTTAAAAGATAATTAATCTTTGAAATACATTTTTGAATTATGAAAAGGAAAACCTTTTACCTTCATCTATGTTTCTAAACATGAGTACTTTGTGTAATTGCATAGAACTTTTATTCTTTCTAGTTTCTTTACAAAGGTTAAATAGAAGCATATTTGCTGTTTTTTATTTTTGTGGGTTTAATTCTATCAACATTAATTTTCCACCAATGTTGAATAACTCAGCAGAAATTAGAACCAGAGTGCTAGGACCCAAAAGATAGGTGATTCTCAAACTGGAATGGAGATTGGGGTGATGGAAGTGTACTTTTTCATGTTCATATACAAATTTACCTAATTTGATTGAAGTAAGTATCATAAAATTAATCATTTTAAAATGTACAATTGAGTGGCATTTTGAATAGTCACAATTTTGTGCAGCCATCATCTCTATGTAATTCCAAAGCATTTCCATCACCCCAAAAGGAAGCACCGTACCTATTAAGCAATCACTCTGCAGTCTTCTTTTCCTGGCCCCTGGCACCCACTAATTTTCTTTCTGTCTATAGATTTGCCTGTTTTAGAGAAGTCATAAAAATGGAATCATACAATAAGTGATCTTGTGTGTCTAGTTTTGTACAGTTAGCATAATGTTCTCACTTTTCATCCATGCCACAGCATGTATCATACTTCATTCCTTTTAACAGCTGAATAATAATCCATTGTGTGATAGGCCACAGTTTGTTTATCCCTTCATCAGTTGATGGTCATTTGGGTCGTTTCCAGCTTTTGACTACTGTGAACTGTTTTACTATGAACACTCATGTGCAAGTTTTTGTTTGAATACCTATTTCCAGCTTTGGGGATATAATCCTGAGAGTGGAATTTCTGGGTCATATCATAATTCTCTTAACTTTTTGTGGAACTGCCAAACTGTTTTCCGCAGCAGCTGCACAATTTTACGTTACTACCAATAGTGTATCAAGGTTCTAAATCGTCCACATTCTCATCAAAACTTGGACTGGTATCTCATTGTGGTTTTGATTTGCATTTCCCTAATGACTAATGAAGAGCCTTTTTTCACATATTTGTTGAGAATTTGTGTATCTTCTTTCAAGAAATAATCTAGTCAAGTCCTTTGCCTGTTTTTAAGTTGGGTTGATTATCTTTTTGTTATTGAGTTGTCAGAGTTCTTTATATATTCTGAGTACTAAGCCCTTATCAGACCTATTATTTACAGATATTTTTTCCCATTCTGTTCACTTCCCTTTTCACTTTCCTCAGTGTTCTTTGCACATAACTTTTTAATTCAGATGAAGTCCAGTTTACCTTTTTTTTTTTTAAAGATTTTATTTATTTATTTGAGAGAGAGAGAGAAACAGCATGAGAGGGGAGAAGGTCAGAGGGAGAAGCAGGCTCCCCGCTGAGATGGGAGCCTGATGTGGGACTCGATCCCAGGACTCCGGGATCATGACCTGAGCCGAAGGCAGTCGCCTAACCAACTGAGCCACCCAGGCACCCCAGTTTATCTACTTTTTAAGAATTTATTGCCAAATTCAAGGAAAATTTATCCCTATGTTTTCTTCTAACAGTTTTAGAATTTTAGTTCTTACATTTAGGTCTAAGATCCATTTCAAATTTTTGTACATTGTTTGAAATGAGTCCAACTTCATTCTTTTGCAAACAGGTATCCAGTTATACCAGTGCCATTTGTTGTAGAGATAATTCTTTCCTTCCTAATTTTGTTTCAAACCATATGTATCTGTCTTGGCCACAGTTATCTAAGTAAACTGTCGTACTTGCTCAAATCAAGATCTAGCAGTTCTGCAGTCTTCTGATTTTCTAGTTTAGTACATTTGTTCAAAAAGAAAGATGATTTATAATAAATTTAATGATGATACAGTACCTTTTGTTCTATACTGCATTTTTCACAGGCTCAAAGGCCCTACATTCTAAAGACATTTTAGTATTTTTCTGGGGACTAATAACAATTTTATCTATCACCTTTCTCCCCTTTTTGGAAATAGCACAATTTACCTTTCACTGTTATTCTGGTACTTTTACAATTCTCCATGATTTCTCAAAATGGCTGACTTTTTTTTTTAAGATTTTATTTATTTATTCATGAGAGAGGGAGAGAGAGAGAGAAGCAGAGGGAGAAGCAGGCTCCCAAGGAGCAGGGAGCCCGATGCGGGACTCGATCATGACCCGAGCCGAAGGCAGACGCTTAACCATCTGAGCCACCCAGGCGCCCAGCTGACTCTTTTTTGACTATATCTTTTCATTCTTTCAGTACCCTGAGATGTAATTATTCAGAGCCTAGAGGTTTTAAACTACTTTAATGCAGTTTAGAGTTCTCTCACCTGTCTTAGTTTTCAATTTTCTGTTAATGATGTTTTCCTGTTGCAGTTTTATGAACAAGATAGGAACAATAGCTGTTGAACAATAATTCCGCTTTTTCTCTAAATCTGTTAATATTACATCTATTCCAAGCATTGGATCTATTCTCATTCTTCTTTATTCATGCATGGCTCTCAGAGCCTTTTTTGTTCTTTCTATAACTCTCAATCCATTCTGGGATTAAATTCTGTGTGTACAAATTCTTGCCACTTTCCTTTTTGCATTAATTTTTGGTTTATATTCTTTTAAAACTGAGCAATGTCAGAGAACACACTGCTTTTCTCTCTCTCTCTTTTTTTTTAGTAGGCATCCCCCCGTTTCTTCCCTCACTAGAATCATATTATGCTGTTAGAATATTTTCAGGCCTTCAAACTCTGTTGATCCCCATTCTGAGTTCTTAATCATCTATCAGTTTTTTCTTTTCTGTTATCTTGAAAATTTTTTACATTGAAGCTAAATGAGTCTTCTTCCTTTGCTATTTACAAAAAAGTCAAATTTCTTCAAAATGGTTTTCTTTTTTGTCTTTCAACGTCAGAAAACAGCACTTTTCTCTTAAAAAATTAAACTAAGACATTATTAAATACTGGGTCATCTGGGTGGCTCAGTCTGTCAAGCATCAGCCTTTGGCTGAGGTCATGATCCCAGGGTCCTGGGATTGAGCCCCACATTCAGGCTCTCCACTCAGCAGGTAGCCTGCTTCTCCCTCTCTCCCTGCTCGTGCGTGCGTGCGCTCGCTCGCTCTCATAATAAATAAATAAAATCTTTTTTCTTTAAAGACATTATTAAATACAGTGATCTTACCAGGAGACTTTTAGTAGTAAATATATTGATAATTGGATTTCTTGCCACTACTGCATCTTGCCTTTTTGCTGGTTTGGAAGTAGAGCATTATTCATATATTTATTTGTGGCTTGTTGTTTATACAATACACCTACACAGTGTTCTTATGTTCTCTCTTGTGTTCTGCCTTTAGGTTTGTGGATTTCCATGAGTATAAATTTTGATACCTTTATTAGTGAATAAGATTTTTCTTTTTATTTCCCTGTTTGAGTCATGAGTTTTTTTCTGCATGTGGGTTGATATATCACCAGTGCTATAAACTAGAACTTATTGTATTGGTGGAAATGTTCTATAAACTGCCCTATCCAGTACAGAATCCACTAGCCACATACGGCTCTTGAGCACATGAAATGGAGCTAGTGAAGCTGATGAACTGAATTTTTCATTTTATTTAACTTTAATAAATAGCCACAAGTGACTCCTGTATTGGACATTGCAGCCTCAGATAATATTTTTATCTTTGCTTTAAAAAAGTTGTCATGATTAACAAATCTCCTGCAAAGATGTTCTTCCTAGTCTTTGTAAAACATATAGAGGTCCTCAATGTGATACTATAAACCATGGTAAAGCACATGTTTTACTGTGTTCTGATATTGTATATGGGTCCGAATTCCATCTAACTTTGGAGAGGCAGTACATTTTCTAGAGTCACTCTGATTCCCTGGGTTCCAACTCTGGATCTCCCTTTTATTAGCTACATGTCTTAGCAAGGACTTAGCCTTCCACTTTCCATGTTTTTCTCTTAAACTGTAATTACCTTTAACAAGTAAAAGTAGAAAGAAAAAGGCCACCTGTATCTCCAAGTAACTAAAAGAGAGAAACAAATGTATCAGAAGCAGCAAAAACAATGACTTTTACTTCTTCTTGGAGTTACTTGGAGACACATTCAGTAGAAATGGGTAAGATTAATTTTCCTGACCTTGCATCACATGTTATGTAAAAAAATCCAAGAAGCCAATATTGTTCTTGATTTACTATGTCAAATATAGCCACTGTCCTATAGCAGTTTCTTGGATAATAAGAGTTCTCAAACCTACCAGTGGCTATTTGTCTTATTCTTGTTTTGTTGAAAAAGGAAAGCTGCTGTTTTTGTTTCAAATCGTGTACATTGACTTTGTGGGTCCTGTGATACTGTTCCAATTGTGCTGGATTTCTTTCTCATCTCTTTGTTAGGTTTTTTTCATCCCACAGGCTGATGATGATACTAGTGTGTTTGTATTGTTTTGTGTTTTGTACTTAGTGGCCTCGATTTATTTCCTTTTAATTTTTTTATATGTCCTAAATTCTAGCAAAAAAAACTTTTCATCTTCTCCAAAAATAGAGAAGCATATCATAATCTCCTTTGTGTTTGTTAACAGTTTATAAATGTAATTAGTCACCACCTCCTGTCAGGAAGGCAGATGCAAACCTAGACAGATTTGGTGTACTTGTTAACTAAATTGTAGGCTGACTTTCGGGGATTTTTGTTGTTGTTGTAAAATAAGAGAAAGTGAATAATCTACATTGATTCTGTTAAAGGCAGCAGAAAGCTATTAAGAAACTTTTAAAATTATTTCCTTTTTAATTAGAAAACATGAAGAACAGATAAAATTTTAATCTTCTGGAAAGGGGTCGGGGGCAGGGGGTAAAGGAAGCATTTTGGTTAAATTTAACAAAGGAAGGAGTAGTGTCAGAAACTTGTGCTGATCTTTTGACTCCTAAATGAGTGATTTACCACCAGCCCATACTGTCCTCTACACCTGAGCAGAAGATAAAAATGTTTTATATGAATAATCTCTGGCTTTAATATTATTCATGGACTTTAGGTCAGTATTTGTATTATAAATAACTGTAAAACTTTTAGTGACATTGGGGTAAATGAATAATAAATATTATACATCATTCCTACATGTGTTTTTTTTGTGTTGTGTTTACATTGGATAGTGTGATAGTGTCCAAGCTGAATTATACTTGAGAACAAATGTCAGTTTATCTTATTGGATGTAATGGTGTAGGGCACATTAATCATACTTTACATTTATACAATGTTTTATCATATTTTAGCCCTGAAATAATTTTGTTGTGAACTTCTATAAAATTGAATTGTAGCAGAGAAGTTACTGATGATACTTGGAGTGGTAGTTCATCTGAAATTGATTATAGGGCTAAACTTTTTTGTGCATTGGTTTTATACAAAGCATATCAAAAATTACAGTTGATATTCTTAAAGTATGACTGAAACTTCAGGTTGAATAAATTAAAATTATAAAATATCTTTTTAAAGGGTGTATATTTATAAATTTTTGGAGGTTTTTATACACTTAAAATTTTTAAAGTAAAATCTTGTTTAGTATTTTATAACTTACTCTATTTTGTCTACATATAATTAATGGGGAATAATTCCCATGTACTTTTAAATTTGATTAATAATTTTTGTCTTGGTCAGAGCGGTAGATCTATGTCAATATGGAAAGCAGTCCGTTTATTCTTTATGTGCAAATAGCAATAATACCTATTATTATAAAATTCCTAAAAATTTGATAACAAATGTTTTCTTAGCTATATGGTTGATAATTGCTAAAATTTGTTTAAATATTTATTATGAACAGGACATTTATTTGTATGGTATTTCAGAGATACTTGGAAGATAGTGGTTAATCTCTCACATTTCTTCCTTAAATAGATTTATCAGAAAAGTAAGGAATATAAAATAAAAGTTTACTAATGGGAAAGCAGAATTTTATTAGCATTATGTTGATTCACATTTGGTTTCCTTCTTATACAGATTTCTTTTAAGGGTATAAAGTAAAAGCTACTTGGTAGTATTTTATATTGGTGCCTAGGCTTGGCTCATTGTTTTGTTGTATTATTTCTATTAAAACATTGTTTCTTTATCAGGAAGAATGTCCAGTGATGATGTTCTTTTGTGTTTTATTATAGAGCTGAACTAGAGAAACATGGTTATAAGATGGAGACCTCATAGCATCCAGAAGAAGTGTTGAAGCAACCTAAACTTGAACTGTTTACTAAATTCTAGGACAGAGAACCCAGGATGGGACACTTTTAAAAAAATGTTTATTTCAGTACCTGCTTGGATTTATTTTTGATTTTGTAACACAAAAAATAAATGTTTTGATCTAATCTTGGTTTGGTTCAGAAGTCTCGATCTTTTGCTTCTCTCGTCATTAATTTTCTCAGACTGCTTATGATTTTCTAGGACTTTATTATATAGAGACAGTAAATTCATCCGATCCCCAATTCAGTACTTTTTTTTAACCACATCAATTGAATGTTGATCTTATTTATAAGGTTACTTTTTTAAAGTTGCTTTTAACCTTAATCTCATCTGTATTTTGAAAGCTTAGGAAACATTTGCTGACATCTCTAAGGTGACCCTTTAAAACCTGTGTTTTAAAATATTAATCATTTTTAATTGCTATAATTAGCTTCTGAGCCATTAATAATAGTATTAATAGTTGATAGAGTATTATTAGTACTTAAAATCAAGTGGTTTGATCACAGTCTAAGAACAGTGTCCTCTGTCAAAATTGGTGAAGTAGGATCAAGATAGTTTGTTAACATGGGCATATTCTCAGGTACTACATAACAGTCATTTAGTATAATTAAGATTCTGCAAAGTGATTATCATTGCCACATCTACTTTTGTGAGTGGGAGATACAATTTAGTTGGTAAAGGATTCTTCCTCATAAGACTTAGAATGAAGCTAATGTATAGTTTTTATTAGGAATATTTTCAAACTTGAATGTGTTACTTAAGGAGAATTAGCAGAACTGTTGAATAATTTAAAGTGTAAAATTTATGTGACATGATGTATTAACACCAAAATAAAATTGGGTGCCTGAAAGTTATGTCTCAAAATGATTTTGAACATAAGTTTTTCTCTTCCTAAGACAAGCATAAATCTGCCTTGCCTACCTGGAGAACTGCTAGATGATCAGATAGACTAAGGAATAAGAGAACTTTGGAAAGTATAAAAGCATCTTATATATTTATAATCCTGTAGTGCAGCACAGGCAACCATGCTACTGTTGTGGCATGTGAAGAAATATTTTGATGTATATGTTCTTGGTACTCTGGTCAGTGATTATCTTTAGACACCATATTAGTGGTCAGTTTGACAGTGTCAGATTATTACCCAGAAGGTTGGCCACCTCATATGACTTTAAATTGGTGCAAGGTACAATTTTGAAACCTTACAGGAATTGGGCAGAGGCTTTAATGGGTTTTCATTAGTTATCTAGTGTTCTTAATGAAATTTCAAAATTTAGTTTGGGTGTTCTTTTCTGTTAAGGATTGAGTACCTGAAAATTGGTATTTGGTATCAGGATGATGAAGCCATCAATGATAGAAAGTGAGACAAGCCAAGCAGCTGAAGAAAATTATTTTTGTGGGACTTTACAAAAGTTAATAGATTCTTTAACTTATGATCTTCACAACAGCCCTGCCAAAGCAGGCAGGAAGGGCCTATCTGTTGTAAACATTTCATCAAATAGAAAACCACCTCATAGAAAATAAGGAAGTGAAAGGGGCCATGGTTGCATAGCTAATAGATGTCAGATAAAGACAAGAATCCTGGGTTTTTTTTTTTCATTTGTCGTTTTCCATAATCACTTAAGTCCATTTGAAATCGTTTTGAATTTAAATTGTAGGTGTAATAATAGTATTTTTCATCAGGCCTTGGATTAGAATTGTTGCCACTGGATGCCATGTCTCTTCTTCCTGTTTTCACTAGGAATGTTTAATTTAGAGAACTATGATAATGAGCCAACACTCTTGAAAGATTGTATGGTGTATTAATACTGCCTTTTTATGACATATCATGATCTATCCTGTACTTTTTAAAGATAGCCATATCCTTTCTGTCCCACAGTTACCAAGTTGAGAGAGGGAACATCTTCCATTCTTTCGGCAGAGAGCTAACAATTTGCGCTACTCTCCATCTACCCACACAGATGATGCTGGGGAATTAGACTTGAGTTTTCTAGCTGCCTTAATGGCTCTGGTTGTATTCCAACTCTAAATCTTGGCATAGATCTAGATTCTATCCTGTATCCACTTCTTGCTCTATCCATACTACATTCTCTTTAGTAATTTCGTCCAGTCTCAGTTGCTTAAAAAAAAAATCATATGTATGATTTCATTTTCTATTTTCAGTTTTTGCCTCTCCTTGAAGTTATAAACTTTCATATCCACTAACAACTTGATCACCCTTTCAGTATCTATAATGGGTGATTATTCCCAAACCTGATCTTTCATCCAGTCTTTCGCATCTCAGTAAATACCCCACCTTCTTCCCAATTGCTGAAGCCAACACTTTAAGAACTGTTCTTGAAATCTTCTTGTATTTAATCTAGTGGCAAGCCATGTCAACACCTGCAAAGCATTATCCCATGTAGTTGATACCCCTGCTTGCCTACCGAGCATCTATTTCCCCCTTACTCTTTTCTATCAAATCCTCATTTTTTTCCCTCAGGTATCTATCTTTGCACATAAGCCATGTGACTCAAGGCAAGTCAACCCCATACCCAGTTCAGGGTGGGCTCTGCTTAATCTTTAGTCAATCATAACTCCATCTCTCATACAAATGAATGGATTAATAAATATGAGCCAATAATCGGCGAGGGGCATCTGGCAAAGAGGAATCCTGGCTTATGAAATAGCCACATAGAGCAAGCCTCTCTATAGGTGTGAATAAGGAGCATGTAGTCTTCATTGCTAGTGGCAGTTATCTAACAACTATTCCAGTTTGAGGCCTAAGATAATTAGTCTGGAAGAATGTGATTCTTTTGATAATACCATTGACGCTGTTGTGGCACTAAACTTCTGTAAAATAAGCATACAAATATCTTTATTTAAGACATCTTAGGTTGGGTATTTGGTTACTGGTATCCAGAAACAACTGGTAAATTCAGAATCTATCTACTCCCACTTTCTAGTATCTTAATCTAAACCACCACCATCATTCACTAGGATTTTCTGTAATGATCGCCTAACTAGTCTCCCTACTTTTACTTTTTCTGCCCTACAGTCTTTTCGGTAAAAAACGGATCTTGTTGAAATTTAGACCATGTCATCTTTAAATGCCATCAAGGACTTCTTAAAGCAGCATAATACTAAACTCATAAAGCCCATTATAATTGGCCTCAGCTTATCTCAGTTTACATCACCTGATTTTCAGTAATGTCTTATTGTGGTCACTTCTGAAAAGTAAATGAAAGATTAATCACTAAGCAGAAAGTCATTATACTCAATTGCTTGAACACACCAGGGGCCTTTCCACCAGTTGGTACCTGGAAGGCTTGCCCACCTCATCCTCAACAAGTCAGGCCCTCAGAAGGTCCGGCGGAGTCAGTATAGACCAGGAAATAAGAGGAGAGACTTTTTTTTTTTTTTAACAGTGAGAGATGACTTTTACCTTCCTTCTTGGTTATAAGGCACAAATCCTTATAATAGGCCATGTCATCTCATTGGTTGTACCTAGATAATTCAAACCTTGTATCTTGCCAGAAGATCACCAATGACTGTGAGATTATATATATATATTTTGTTGCCTGCAGTGAATGTCTTGCAGAAAAATCTTTGTAACTTTTTACTTTGCCCAAAATATGACATTATTGTTCATAAATTATTCAATACATTAATGACATGAATCCTATGTTTTCAAGAGTAATCCTTAAGGTAAAATGATGTTCTCGTATCTACATTAGTGTTGATAAATGAAGATTACTAATAAGAATGTTTGAACTTTGCAGAACTCATCAAAGACTCATTGCATTGTGTGTGTGGAAACCTGTGGTCCAAGTTGATAGGCTATATCCTAGTGATTTTGATGATGATATTTCCAAGTAGAGGAATGGACGGATTTTATGAAAAGAGCAATTGCTTTTCTTTGCTAGGGCTAAGAAGGTCACTGTCATTAATCACAAAGATGACAATTTGTGTTTAGGTCATTTAATATTTTTCAGTAATTTCCCCTTTGGTGATTAAGAACAGGGTATATATATCTAAATATATACACATATAGATATATAGATACAGATATGCTAAATTACTTTGGCTTTGGAGACGTGTCTTTCCTCTGAAGCAGGACTATAGGAAAAACATTTCATGGGATAAAGAAGTCTTGCTAAAATGTATAAAAATTATAAGCAAAGTTTTATGTTCTATTGATTTATATTTTGGAGAAGTTTCTTCATATTTTACAATTTAGCTCGTTAAATTAGTAAAACATTTTGGAAGCTAAGTTTTCACTGATAAAATAGTCTCAGTCTGTATATTACTAGTTGACAGTAGCATAGGGGATTAATTGCTGTTAGATTTTATTTTGTTTTTCAAATTAAAACTCCTGATAGACTAACAATTGTCTCTTTTTTAATGCCATTGAAAGCATATATACTTTTCCTTTTCCTTGGAAAGCTTTTTCCTTAATTTTTCTTGCATGAATGAAATTGGTAAGCTCATTTTAGAACTGTCACAAGGTACAGAAAAGTCTAGGATATTCAGTCAGGAATTTGATGAGTGATGTCTAATAGTATTTCTAGGAGCTTGTGAATGAACGTGTGAGGATAGGGGTCCACACATCCTCCTTTGTTTCATTTGGACCTTTTCGACCTTTACTTGTGTTAGACATTGGGATTCAATGTAGGATTTCATTTGAAAAATCGATTTCACTGCCTTTCTTTAAAGTTTGATAACAGTGATCTAGATTTTCTATGACATTGGCAATTTCTCCTAAGTACTGGCAAGTAAGTTAGGTTTTGCTTTCTGTCCAGATTCAGGGTAAAACCACTACATACTGTGAAAATTATAAAGCTTTTTTTTCTAAATTTGCTAAGTCTTAGGCATCTTTATATTTGTCACCATGATGTTAGACTTACAGAATTGGACAGATTCTTAAAAAGCATCTACCTCTACCACTTCATTTTGCAGTTGAAGAAATAAACCCAAATCAAGTAGAAGCTTTTCTTGCTTCTGCCCTGTGTGACCTTGGGGACAGGTCACATAGGGCAGAAGCAAGAAAAGCTTCTACTCCAGTACTCTTTCCACTGCATTGAACTTTCTCTTTTGGGGGTTCTAACTTCAATCTAGAATAGGGAATAGTTATTAAATATTAGGAAATATAAATGGTATAAAGGAAGTGATGAGAACAAATAGCACTGAAGAAGAAATTCGTTTAAAAAAATATTTATTGAGTAGCTACCATGCATCAGGCACTGTGTATTTACTGAAACTAAGCTGTTAACTTACATACAAAATCTACATGTGCTCTATACAGTGTTAATATAAGTTGTTATATATATATATAATTCTATATATATAAATAATATATGTAGATGGTTCCTGGCCTTTGGGTTAAAACAATTTCTGTTTTAACACCACAGTGGACATTGGTTTCAACTTGGCCACCCACAATATATTGCCCCTTACATTGATAAGAATACCCAGATTTCCTTATGGGTAGTTAACACCACCACCTCCCCGTCATTCCCCTCCAGTCTTCGGGAAGCCAAGAATTAAGGTCCCCTATTCAGCCCAAGACAAAAGGATGAAAGCCTATGGCCAGTTCTAGGCCAATTAAACTCTTTTCTCAGACTTTCTATCTCAGAGAGATAAAAAGATGGGAAGAACTGTCAGAATTCATTCCTGCTTCTGAGACTCTTCTCCCTACCAGGGTATCTTGGATTCTATCTTTTTCAAACTTGGCACTTCAACATCATCTTTGATTCTCTTAACTCTCACTTCATCAAAGTCCCTTTCAATGAACTATAGAAATGATCCCTGAAAGTATAGTCATTCAAAGTCCCTTTTAAGTTAAGTTGGTTTCTGTCACAACAAGTTAACCCC